GCCAGGGGCGGGGTGGGTGCCACGCCGGGTTGCCCGAGGGAGGGGGCCCCGGGCTCGGGCGAGCCAGGGCCGCAAGGGGCTCCCCCGCGCTCCCGAGAACGCTCCCTCTGTTCAGCAGGCGCCGAGATCCTCGCCTCCCTGAGCACAGCCGAGGCCTTCGAAGGCCCTGCTCAGGAGGGAGACGAATTCCTGCGAATTCGCGCTACCTGGCCCAGGCCCTTCCGAGAAGAGCTCCTGCAAGCAGGCGCCAGCTGGCGCCGGTCAGCGGTCGCAGTCCTGCCACAGTACTGGCAGAAATGCAAACTGCGCAAATCCCAAAGCGCCAGCTTGTGGGAAAGATGGGCCGATCCGCCGACCTCCACGGGCTTAGGGGCCGAGGCGACCAAGTCCGACGGGAAAGGAGCGACCCGGACAGCAGGAATGCAAGGGGGAAGGGGAAACCTCCAGCAGGGCCTTGTTCTCGCGCAAATGCTCGCGCGCTCGGCATCGGAAGGGCGAGCCAAAAAACACAGAACTGTGAGCCGACTCTCGCGCCGCCCTGTCATTTGGACGCCCGAAAAAGGGCACGGAAAGATAGGGTACAATGCCCAACAACAAATGCTGTCCCAAACCAAGAGCGGCCGCTGTTGGGCGGGCGGCCTTCTGTCTCAAATGGACACAGGCCGCGGCGGCGCGGACAGCGAGTCCTGTTCAGAATGAACAAGAACTGCCGTTGGGCATCGTACCCATTCTTTCCGTGCCCATTTCGGGCGTCCAGATGTCGAGCTCCGGCCCGCGCCCAGCTCGCTCCGCAGGGGGCGCAGCCGGACGGGCCTTCCGGGGGTCGGCGGAGGCAGCCCCGATCGGAGCTCCACGGGCTCTCCTGCGGATGGAGAGGCGCCTGCGAATCCGAGAAGCCGGTCCTGGGATCCGAGCGGGCCGGGGGGGTCCAGAACCTTCCCGCGGCCTCTGAAGCCGCTTGGTCAGCCGGATCGTTTCCAGCCCGAAGAGAAACCGGGCGAGAGTCCAGACCTTCAGCGCTGAAGTCTAAATTGGACGGAGCCCACTCGAGCGTGGTCCTGCCCGCGCCTCTGGCATCGGTGGCAGACTTCGCGCGGAACCGCAGATCCCAGTGCTGCCCGCCCGCCGCCCCAGCCCGACCCCGCTCCCATCCCGTGGCCAGGGGAACTTGGTGGTCAGTGGCGGCATGCACTGGGCCGCAAGCGCCCTCGAAACACGGGGCAAAAGCGAGGCGCTCGGGGCGTGGGGCCGTTTGGGCGCCCCCCGATATAGAATTCCAGAAACGCCCCCAGCCCTTTCCCGGTGAGACGCCCCTGGGTCCTGCCTGACCACAACCACGAGACGGCGCCGCAGCGTCGGCGACGAGGGCCGGAGGAGAAGCGCCCTCCAGGAGCATCCCCGAGAGCAGCGAGGGGCTCGGAAGACGAGGGCGACAGATCCTTCGGGGGCGCCGTCCCGAGAATCTGCAAGACCTCGGCCTCGGGCGGGTCCACAAACTCAGGGTGAGCGTGGTCGGTCGGGGGAACTCCGCGGAGCCAGAGGCTTGGATTCATACCACAACTCACATGGGCCTGCGGGACTCGCAGCTCTGTTGTAGAAAAGACCTAGTCGCCTTCATTGCTAGGGCGCTCCCGGGCTCGGCGCCGCAAAGTCTCGGCGGCGTCGCCACGCTGCGGGCAAGCCTGCTGCTCGGGCGTGCGTATGGGACACTGGCAAACTCGAGGCCGCTGCGCGCCAGCCACGACGCGCAACGTCTGGCAGTCCATGTCGTGGCCCCCCTTTCTGGATGAAGCGAAGGTGCTCGCGCCTCGGCCAGGACATGTGACCTCCACACTTCAGATCCTCGCCTGCTTCGTGGTTGCTGCGCTGAGCCCAGAGCTGCGGCCGAAGGTCCACAGTGAGCTCGGCGAGGATGCCACTGACGTCCATCTCATCTCCAGAACACCCAGGATCGAACATGTAGGATTCTGCCATTCCGTCATGCCTGCAGCCACACAGCGACACCGCTGGGTAGCCGAAGGGGCCTTCCAGCCTGCATCAAGTAACGTGGCGATGGCAGCTGAGATAGGGCCTTTCACGACCCTCCATCGCGCAGAACGCCCAGCAAGATCTATCCTCTGCAACAGAGATGGCCACGAGAGTTTGACTGGACGATTGAACTCACGATGCAAGCGCCACGCTGTCAAATCTTCCGCCGCCAGCTGGCGTCGTAGTTCCAGTGCGGCACCCTTGGGGCCGAACAGAACACCAATGACACTCGTTAGGCGCCTTCCCTGGAGCGGCGCAGCTCCTGCGGTGGCCGCCTGGCGACGAAGGCGAAGGAGCTGGTGAGGCGGAATGCCCATAACCTGGTGGCCTGAGGCAGCCTGAGGAAATGCGCCAGTGGTCCACAGCCCCTGACAAACTCGACGCAACTTGGCATGACGCCGAAAGCGATGTAGTCGCGAAGCCTTTGCCCCGCTGCGACGATCCTCTGGGATGGCTTGCGCACGAAGCGTCTGCTTCCTCCAGTGGAGTCAACTCCAGGGTCCACCGCTGCAAGACAAACCTGTCCAGGTATGGCCTTGGCTCGAAGGCGCTTTGCCAGCAGCTTGCCCAACCTCACATCGTTGGAGATGAGCACCGTCTTGGGCGACACCACCAGCCTCATGGTGTCGAGACCTGCCTGGAAAACGATGGCCGACTCAATGAATCGGCCTTCCGCTGCAACCCTGGCTCCCTCTGTGTGCAGGACGGTGTCAGCTTGGCAATTTCCCAGTCCTATCGTGTCTCCAAGTCCGTCAGGATCAAGTCTTCTGGCTTCGCACTCGCCGCGATGCCCCCGGGGGCCGATCAAGTTCGGCGGAGACGCTACCTGCACCTCCCTACCACTTCCATTATTTCACAGTCGGTGTTAGCACCCGCCTGCCTGGCCTCCACCTCCTCGGGCATCAGGGCCTCCAGCTCTCAGTCGAGTCGCCCCGCCCGCTGGTCCGGGTAGCCCCGACTGGCCACCAGCCCATCCAACTGATCCAACCTACACCATCGCGCGCGCGGGCACGGGTGTGAGGGCGGGCCTGCTCCGGAGTACCGCACCTCGGCCAGCTCGCATCGCGTCTGAGCTGACGTGGCTGGGGAAGAGGAGGAGGAGGAGGCAGAACTCTCTCGCCCCCACCCCCCTTCTTCTACAAGTGACAAGAAAACGGCATCGACGTCATCTGCTGGAGGCTGCCTCGAACTCCCTGGCTCGGCGTTGATGTCCCCCCCTCTTCATGGCGGGCTGCGCGCGCCGGGGGCGGCACGTGCGGCGCCGCAGAGGGGGGCGCCACGGGGGGCGCCAGGGGGGGCGCCAGGGGGGGGCCCCACGCCGATCCAAGAAGAAATCAAGGCGGACTTCCGAAGATTCATATTATGTCGGGCCTGTCCCCCTACAACAATAACCAAACAATAAGTCGAAAATAGTCAGGGGACCATTTTTTTTTTTTTTCGTCGAAAATCCCCCTGTAGGGGGACACGCCCGACATACAATTGATACCGTTTGCTCTTGCCATTCTCGGTTCGTCCTAGCTCTCTTGGCATGGCCAAGAAGGAAACGGGCACTGTACCAGGGGGCTTTCCCTGGGACCCGCCGTTCATCCCGAGTCGCCCTATGATGGTCCAGGGGCCCGTGGGGAGCCCCGGGAGCCCGAAAACAGCCGAAAACCTTCAGGACCCACTTCGGTCAGGGCCTTCCTCCTTCATGGCGACGGCCTCCCACGCCCCGCAGGCGCCGCCAGGGAGTGGCCCGGCTCCGCGCGGGCATCCAAATTGTATGTTTGTATGTTTGCGTCGCCTTCAGGGCCGGCTTCTTCGGTACCGGAGGCCGCCCGCGCACTCCTCGTGGTGTGGACCCTCTACGCCTGAGACCTCCCTCCGCTGGTGGGTGGACTAAAACTGTCCACGCGTGTCTTGCCAAGACCTTGAGCTATCAAAGCACGATGGACCAACATGCATACCCCCTTCCCCCCAGATTCAAAGCTGACCGGCTTGGGTGGTAGGCCAATGGCCGGGGACAACGTGTGGACACTACAGCTTTGGGTCTGGGAGGGGGGAGGGCGAAGCAAGGGCACTTCGCAGTTGTTGCTTGCTATCCTGTTGCATCGCCTTGCCGCCATGGGCGTGGACACTTGCTGTCCGGGCACCGGCGCTCCCCCTCCGCGGCCGCTCTCTCTTCCTTTCCTCTTGTCTGGCGTGCCCCAGCCGCGTGCGGTCCGCAGGCTGTCTCGGCCGCGTGCTGGCGCTCTCGCCCTCGCTGCGGACCACAGGAGCAGTGTGCCCAATCGTTCCGCCTTCGGCTCCCGCCTTCCCTGCCGTCGCAGGCCCGCTGCCGCGGCGCAGCCGTCGAACGTCGGGCTCTCCCCGTGCTGCTGCTGCTGCTGCTGCTGCTGCTGCTGCTGCTTCGGAGGAGGAGGAGGAGGAGGAGGAGGAGGAGGAGGAGGCGGAGGAGGAGGAGGAGGAGGAGGACGAGGAGGAGGAGGAGGAGGAGGAAGGAGGAGGGAGGAGGGGGGGGAGGGGGGGAGGAGAGGAGGAGGAGGAGGAGGAGGAGGAGGAGGAGGAGGAGGAGGAGGAGGAGGAAGATCGAGGTTCGAGGGCGGAGCTCGATCCTCCTCCCTCCCTCCCTCCCTCCCTCCCTCCCTCCCTCCCCTGAGGGCACAACAGAAGTAGCGATACTGCCACTCCTCGGACCTCTCCTGGGGCGCATTCTGGCCAGAATCTCAGGGAGAACCCAGCCGTGGCGACGAGAACCCTCCAGGACGAGCAGCGGACATCGGTACCGTTTCCCTCCCCTCATCTAGAGGCCCCCTTGGACGGGGTCCGAGTAGAGGGGGTCGGAGGATCGCGCCGATGCGGCTCGATGTGGAGCCCTACTTCCTCCCCACGCCGAAGGCACCGATGCATCGGCGATGCGGCGCGGTCCTTCGACCCCATCTGCTCTGACTCCACCTGGGAGGCCTCGAGGGCCCCTCCCGCCCCCCCACGGCCTCCGCGCGAGCCCGCACGCAGCACCTGCAGCTTCAGCGCCGGCAGCGGCGACGCGGGCACGCCGCCCGGCAGCGTGGGCGTCTTGGGCAGCGCCGCGGCGCAGGGGCTCTGGGCGTCGGACGCCGCGGGGGCGCGCGGGCGCAGGGCTGTGGCCCTCGGCGGCCCCTCGGCTCGGCGGCCCTCGGCTCGGCGGCCTTCGGCTCTGCGGCGGGCCTCGGCGGCGGCCCTCGGCGGCCCCTCGGCTCGGCGGCCCCTCGGCTCGGCGGGCCCTCGGCTCGGCGGCCTTCGGCTCGGCGGCCCCTTCGGCTCGGCGGCCCCTCGGCTCGGCTCGGCGGGCCCTCGGCGGCGGCCTGCGGCGGCGGGCCCTCGGCTCGGCGGCCTTGGGGCGGACACTGCGCGGGCGCGCAGCGTGGGGAGAGCATGCCTGCTATGCTTGTGGATGCCACGGCAATGGGGGCCCTGACGGTCCTATCCTTGAACTTAACATGTGTTTACAATGTAGGAAGATGTTCCAAACATGTTGTGAGCATGTCTGTTTATGCTTGAAACATGTTTAGTCCATGCTTTAGACATCTGGAACTTATTTGGCAACATGCTTCCTCTCCATTGATCGTCCTCCACAATGCTATACATGCAATAAATGCCAATCAGAACGGTCAATCGTGGGGCCATGATGCCTCTGGTGGTCTTGAACCGGCTGTGATGCGTGCTCGTGCCCACCCCCTTCCCATTCTCAAGGGCTTCGCGTACCTGTATGGCGGTGGGGTGACCGCCGCAGACACTGCGCGGCTTTCCAAAAACGGTGCGGTGACAGACCGTGCGGTGACCTCGGAGAGATCCCCAAAGACCTCGTCGCCCGGTCCGTCACCGCATGGTTTGGGGACCTCGGAAGCCCCAGCCGCCCGAGACGTCCCAGGAGAACGACCCAGGTCCCCAAACCGCGAGGTCATCCCGAATCCCCACTGGCTCACTACGCAGTGTGGTCATCGCACCGTTTGGGTACCCCCGGGGGGGGGCGATCCAACAGAACATGCGCGGACACACTGCGCGGGCGCAGGGTGAGAAGAAGGGAGGCACTAGGCGGTGAGCCCAGGGGGGGGGGGAAGGCAGAGGGGGCGGCCCTTCTCAGAAGGGTCAGAGGGCCTCTGGACTTCTGACATCCTGGCAGGCTTTACCAATCTTCTCCTCAGGAGGCCGGCGGCCTTCCGAGAAGCCCTGTCGCCTTCTGAGAAACCCTGCCCCCTCTCACTTCCCCTTTCGGCGCGCTGCCGATGCACGGGGGGGGGCGAGCGGTTGAAGTAGGAGCTCGACCATAAGAAACCTTCCGCAAGAAGCCCAACCCTGAGACCCCAGGACGTCTATTGTTTTTTTGTTGTGGGAACGTCACGCCTTCCTTCGCAAAACCCTCGAAACCCAAAGAACCCAGGGCACCCTGGAGGCAAGCTGGATATCTCTTGGCATGGGTTTCCACTGTAGACGTAAACGTTCGGATCTCCGCGCGGATCTCTTGGATCGGCCCCGGGGCCCCCTCCTCCCTGGCGCGCGGGGCGCGCTGTGGGCCCGCACAGGGGGGGCCGCCAGGGGGGTCCAACGCCGATCCAAGATATCTGCGCGGTGGACCGAAATCTTACGTTTCATGTCGCTTCTCCTCTTCGATGTCGGCACTGTCAAACATCAACTTCTGCCGTCGGGCAACTTTTGGGGAGGGGGTGATCCGCAAATCTCAACGGCGGACGACGCCCACGAGGGCCCTCGGCGGTCTTTGGCGGTCGCCAGAGAGAGAGAGGGGCCATGAGGGCGAGGGAACGGGGGGGGAGAGGAAGCCTCCTCCTCCTCCTCCTCCTCCTCCTCCTCCTCCGCATCATCATCATCATCATCATCATCATCATCATCATCATCATCATCATCATCATCATCATCATCAGCATCATCATCATCATCATAATCGTCAGCATCATCACCAACAACAGCAACAGCATCAACATCAATATCAGCATCAACATCAAGATTAACATCATCGTCATTATCATCATCATCACCATCACCATCACCACCATTACCATCACCATCACCATTACCACCATCATCATCAGCATCACCAGCATCATCATAACCATCATCAGCATCAGCATCAGCATCAGCATCATCACCATCACTGTCACTATCACCATCATACTCATCAATATCGACATGATCATGATCATGATCATGATCATGATCATGATCATCATCATCATCATCATCAGCATCGTCATCGTCATCATCATCATTACCATCAACATCACCATCAGCATCTGCATCATCATCATCACCATGATAATGATGATGACGATGAGGAGGATGATGATGATGATCATCATCATCATACACCATCAATTTCGTGAAACACAGCTCCTCCATGTCGCACCACCAAGCGTGTACGTAGGCTGGCTGGGGCGCTTCGCCTGGGACCTCCTTGTGGTTTACTTTGCCCGTGGCCAACAACTACACGGATGGAGGCTGGTTCCTTTTCAAGATGGGGCTCTCGCCTTAGCGCTGCGCGCATTTGTCTCACAAGCTTGCCGCAATTATGCGGACGAAGGCTGATTGGTCTAAACCATGTGGCTCTCGACTGGAGCTTCCCCCATCAATGTTCACGAAATCAACTTGCCATCGCTCGGACGTCCATCCCCCGTGTATTGCTCGGTTTCGTGCGTGCTTCTTTGCGTCATGATCCATTGTGCTCCTCGACGGTTCTCGCCGAGGAAAAATGCACACGCCCGGGCGATGACACGCTGAGGTTTGTGCAACCGTTACATGGGGTGGATCGCGGCTCCTTCTCAACATGGGGCTCTCGCTGGGGACTTCCTCACTTCTGACGACCAGGTGCCTGAACATAAACGCAACAGCTGCACGGAGGAAGGTGGGCCTCCCTTGGGCCGTTGGCAAGCCCTCCAAGAGCGATTCGAACACGACGTCGATGCGGAGTCCCCTCTGGGGGCGATATTTGGAGGATGCCTCGAGCGATCTTTCAAAAATCCGCCAGCGCGATGACATCCGCGGCGATTCAAGGGCACTGGACCCCTAGAACTGGAACGTCCGGCCCTGGGGGCCTTACTGGAACGCCGGGGCTCTCGCTGGGGACTTCCTCACCTCTGACGACCAGGTGCCTGAACATAAACGCAACAGCTGCACGGAGGAAGGGGGGCTCCTCTGCAGAGGGTGGCCCTCTCTCGCGTGCCGGCCTCGCCAAACCTCTATAGACCTCTACGTGCACAGCCGTGGGAACCGGCTCCACGGATGGGCGGCGACTCCCTCTCACAGCGGGGGACCCTCGCTGGACACATCTGAAGGGGCACCAGGACACACAAAGCAAAAAACACACACATCCCAGGACTCCCCATATTTTTCCATATTTTCTGGGTTTTCGTTTCCCCCCCCCCACTTCCCATATCTTCCCATATTTTCTGGGAAATCGACGATGAATTGTGTCGGTGTGTGTTTTTCCCTCCTGAACATCGTCGAGCTGCTTGAGGTTACCTTGTCGCAGCTCGTGCCAGTCGCCAGCAGGATGCAAGGCAAGAGGGGGCGGCGCCTCGCCCGAGTGGCAGGCCCATGGGGTGCTCGTCTTTCAAGGGGGGGGGGCCTTCTTGTGTGAGGAGGGCAGCTGGCAGGGACTCGGGACTCATCAGGAGGGAGCTCTGGGCGGGAGGGTGCCTCGCAGCATCGCTGAGGTATCTTGGGCTTACTCTGGTCCTCCGCCTCCTCCGCCTCCTCCGCCTCCTCCTCCTCCTCCTCCTCCTCCTCCTCCTCAGCAGCTCTATCTGGATCGGCGTGCTGGCCCTCCTGCTCCTGCTCCTGCTCCTGCTCCTGCTCCTGCTCCTGCTCCTGCTCCTGCTCCTCCTGCTCCTCCTCCTCCTCCTCCTCCTCCGCCTCCTCCTCCTCCTCCTCCTCCTCCTCCTCCTCCTCTATCTCCACCAGTCTACGCCAGGAGGCACAAGAGCCAATGCCAGGGCCCCCCCCGCCCAGACACGTCTGGTGTTGGTGTATATTTTTTGGCCCCATGCGCCAAGGTACTCGGCGCCATGGGTGAAAACAAAGAATAGCAGGTGGCGTGGAAACCACGTGCGGAAGCAGTCACCCAATGCTGGCAGCTGCAATGAGGATGCTCTCTGGCACGGTGGCCGCACCTTGAGTGGGGAATCGAACCTCCGAGGGGCACGGCCTTCGCCAGAGAGCGATCCCATTCCCAAATCATGTGAACTGTACACGTCGCTTACCGGCGCCCATGGACACGGTCGGGAACTTTCGCTCAGCGCTCAGCGTGTCGCGACTGCGGCCGGCGACACGCTGTGCCCTGCAGGCGGATGGCGTGTCGCTCCGCTCCGCGGGGCGGGAGGCCGGGAAAGGCTCGGGACCTGGAGGCCTGGGGGCTGGGAAGTGGAGAGCGTGTCGCGCCGAAGCGTGGTGGGCTAGAGCTGGCGGCGCGACGCGCCAGGCCGAAGCTCCTGACCGCAACGGTGCACAGCTCGAACTGCCCATGGCCCCGTGGTGGCTACCACAAGGCCCCTGTTTGAACACGTCCGCGCCACCGCGCCTTCGGCACTGTGCGCTTTCCTTGGTCGCACATGAAACTTAAGATTATGATGACTATTTTAGATATTAGTGTTATGACTATTATGATGATGAGGATGGGGATGGGGATGGGGATGAGGATGAGGATGAGGATGAGGATGAGGATGATGATGATGATGATGATGCTGATGCTGATGCTGATGCTGATGCTGATGCTGATGATGATGATGATGATGATGATAATGATGATGATGATGATGATGATGATGATGATGATGATGATGATGATGATGATGATGATGATGATGATGATGATGATTGGTCTTATTATTTATTGTTATTATATGCGATTTGTTGCATTCGTATTATTTGCTAGCAAAGGAGGAAGCGGCACGCTGCGGTGATTTAGGATGCTCGGCAGCTGTCTCGTAGGGTGTGTACTTTTCCAGGGACGCCCCCCACTGCCCATACGTCCCCCCTGGAAAACAGCTCCCATCGTTGCGCTCCTCGGGTTTTTGTTCCGCCTCTGGGCGGCCATAATATGGACCAATGCC